AGCCTTTCTTGATCGGCACAGGTATGCCTCGTGAAACCAGGTTTACCTGTGCCGATCAAGAAAGGCTTCTTTGTCGACACGGCGCGTCCAGACTGCCCCGATCTGCCGACAAATCGACAAAGAAGCCTTTCTTGATCGGCACAGGTATGCCTCGTGAAACCAGGTTTACCTGTGCCGATCAAGAAAGGCTTCTTTGTCGGGGCATCGCGTCCAGACTGCCCCGATCTGCCGACAAACAGCTGATCGGCAGAGCGGGGCAGCCATTTAAATTTAAATGAAGCCGCGATTATTTTAATCGCGGCTTCGTTTCCCTCTGCCAATCTGTCTAATCTACATGCCTCCGTCGACGGAGGCATGTAGTTTAGACGTACCCTGGGTGACCAAAACTGAGCACTTGTCCACAGCACGTTACTCTCCATCCCACTCCTTCAGCTCCTGAATCTTGTCTTTGTTTTGGCCTCTGCCAGGAATGAGCAAGTCTTTCCATGGAGCTACAATCACAGATGTGCAGGTTTTTCTGTGCCGTCTGTTCCAGTTCTGATGTTTCCCCCCGGCACATGTCTTAACAAAGGTTTGATGACCAGTATCCATACTCATGTATCCTGCCGGTGCCTATTAAGGTTTCATGCACCACAATGTGTAGCAGTACTTGAGACAGAACGCCCATCAAATATGGAATCGGTAGGGTCAGTTGTTCATAATTAATTTCTCTGAATGAGGAAAATGTGGTTTTTCAGTGTATGAAGGGTGACCAGACTGCTTCACCCGTTACAGCAGCCTCCAATAATACATGTGGAGTCTCATATTTACTTTACTTCTCCTTCTAGGCATTTGTATTGTGACCATCATCCTAGACGCTGGGCACAGTCAAGGAGACAAGGGGAAAGAAGGGTAAATACAAAAGACACCGTTCTGCCTCAGAATTGGACACCTTCTTGTCTTCTACATGTCAGATTCCAACACAACCGACTTCACCAACCCTTCCACCTTCATCCTGACAGCCCATGTCTGGATCTCCATCCCCTTCTGTGCCACATACACCATAGCTCTCTTGGGGAACTTCACCATCCTGTTCATTGTAAAGAAGGAGCCGAGCCTCCATGAGCCCATGTACTATTTCCTCTGCATGCTGGCCACCACCGACCTGATCCTGTCTACGTCCATCTTGCCCAAAACACTGAGCATCTTCTGGTTCAATTCCAGGGAGATCGATTTCAATGCCTGCCTCACCCAGATGTTCTTCATTCATGGCTTCTTATCAATAGAATCTGGGATCTTTGTGGCCATGGCGTTGGATCGCTACGTGGCCATCTGTGTTCCCCTGAGACATTCCACCATCTTGACCAATCCTATGGTGGCCAAAATTGGCCTGGCCGTGGTGCTGCGCAGCAGCATTCTTGTACTGCCCACTCCCTTCCTGGCAAGACGATGGCCATATTGCCTAACTAACATCATTACCCACACGCACTGCGAGCACATGGCCGTGGTGAAACTGGCCTGCGCCGACACCCGCCTCAGTAGTTACTACGGGCTCTCTGTGGTATTCCTAGTCACTGGTCTGGATGCCATTCTTATCACCATGTCCTACACCCAGATCCTCAGGGCCATCTTCAGCCTCCCCACCAAGGACGCCCGACTGAAGACTTTTGGGACCTGCGGCTCCCACCTTTGTGCCATTTTAGCCTTTTACATCCCAGCTCTCTTCTCCTTCCTCACACACCGCTTTGGCCACAATGTGCCCCTATATTTCCAAGTTCTCATGGCCAACCTGTACCTCCTGGTGCCCCCCATGCTAAATCCCATCATCTACGGGGTGAGGACCAAACAAATCTGGAGCAGGCTTCTCCATCTTTCTACTCACAAGAAGATCTAAAGTTTTCTCCTGGTGTTCTCGCAGACTATGCTCCATGAAGATCTGGCTGATGAGATTGGGCTGGGGCCACTTCTTGGACAAGGGGATATTAAGACCTTCCAGGTTGCAGTGAGCTGTTTCAGCATGACAACCTGCAGCACTGTCCTGGACAAGCCAGTAACTCACACGGCTGCCACGTTACCTAAATGCTGGTAACTACAAATTATAGATTATTTTCTTATTCATTTCCCCACACCATACATTTGCTTCTAGATCTTATAGAACTTGATCTTAAGTCCCTTTTTCCAGATCATTCACGAATATGTTGGGTAGGGCAAGTGGATCGCCGAGAGACATCACTCTACCTCTGTCCATTCTCACCATTTATTCCTACCCTTTGTTTCCTATCTTTTATCTGGAGAGCCCGGAAATGTTTTCAGGATCATCTGGCGATCTTTAATTTAATGGCAAACCTTTTGCTATGCAACTCCCCCGTCTCTGCTTATAAACAGACTTGTTTCCCCAAAGGCAGAAGCTGGGAGCTGCACAGAACTCATCACATTCAATGCTCAAGCTGAGCGGCAGCTGAGCGTTCAGCCTGGAGCTATTGCAGGACCTTGGGTACAATATTCATAGAATCATAGAATACTAGGACTGGAAGGGATCTCGAGAGGTCATTGAGTCCAGTCCCCTGCCCTCATGGCAGGACCAAGCACCATCTAGATCATCCCTGACAGGTGTCTATCTAACCTGCTCTTCAATATCTCCAGTGATGGAGATTCCACAACCTCCCTAGGCAATTTATTCCAGTGTTTAATCACCCTGACAGTTAGGAGCTTTTTCCTAATGTCCAACCTAAACCTCCCCTGCTGCAATTTAAGCCCATTGCTTCTTGTTCTATCCTCAGAGGCCAGGAAGAACAAGTTTTCTCCTCCTCCTTGTGACACCCTTTTAGATACCTGAAAACTGCTATCATGATCCCTCTCAGTCTTCTCCTTAACAAATTGTGGAAGAAAACATTGTCCTCACTCTGGGTACGTCTACACTACAACGTTAATTCGAACTAACTTAGTTTGAATTAGTTAATTCGAACTTAGCTAATTCGAACTAATGGATCCAGACTAAAAAACTAGTTCGAATTAGCGTTTTGCTAATTCGAACTAGCATGTCCACATTAAGTGGACCCTGAAGCGGGCTTAAGGATGGCCGGAAGCAGTGCCGGCAGGGCATCAGAGGAGGACTTAGAGCTTGGAGATGCTGCCTCAGGCTAGCCCAGGGCTGCGCTTAAAGGGACCCGACCCCTACCCCGGACACACAGTTCTCAGGGGTGCCCCGCTTGCAAAGCAGTCCTGGCTTGGAGTGCCCGGGCTACCCACACTGGGCACATCACACCACTCGGCTATCAGCCCGGCTGCACTTGCCGCAGGCTGCCATCTGGGGAGAGGGGGCAATTGGGGGGCTGCAGGAGAGCTTCCACCCCCAGAAGCACGCAGAGCCAGCCCAGTACTCCCCATCGGGGGTGCGTACCCCATTCCTCCCTCACCTCCTTCCACTTACCCTTCCCTAGCCCCCCTTC